TGTTATTTATATTTCTGCGTCCCATACTTACGGCGTTTTATTGTTGCAGTCGATTCGATATCAGCGGGCTCGCAATTAACATGATAGGGTTCTCTGTGACCCCATTTAACATCCAATTAGGGGCGAAATGGGTGATCGTGTTACCCATTCCCTGACTGCCTGCAGTATTAGAGTGCTATTGGGCAAAATGTCTTTGATTTTTTACTTAACTGCTCCGGCAAACCGTGGCTTAATGATTTGTTTTCAGCGGTGTAAAGTCGAGACACCGGCCATTTACACTCATTGCTTGACAAAGGAAACGGACGTCTCGAAAGATCGCAAAAGTTTTCAATTCCTGTTTGTGTTCAAAACTAATTTTGCCTTTATTATTCATACCAAACTGATGACTCTTATTCCGAGTATTCAATTAATGGTTATTGAAAATGATTATTCTATTCATATTAAATGAATATTGTTTCTTCTTTCTTAGAATTTAAAACAGTTCAATCAAGTATGAAAGCTTTGTTTTATATTTTAATTTTGTGCAGGAACATCGCGTGATGTCAGCTGTTCCTCTGTGTCTGTTGTAGTTATTAAACTTGCCCCGTCGATAACAACGGGAAACTTTGCGTGACATGGAAGAGAAACATATTTGCATTTCTTACATAAAAATGAAAATATAAACAATAAAACTACATTGGTGTTGCAGACCTACTGGTATACCTGCAAAAGGTGTCGCAGACAAACTTATCATGGTGCGTCATCACGCATCATTCAGTTTTTATTTAAAGTATAAGATATTTATTGTATTTCTTAAATTTTGCGTTAACGAGAACTGGTGTCATTTTTTCCCTGAATTACTAACTATTTGCATCTCATTTATCTTATAACACTATGCGTCTTCAGGTTTACCTACAAGACGAAACTAACGTTGACCTTGCTACCAACTTGTATACAAAACTAACGGATACATCACACCCACGTTTACCTTAAATACGAAACTAACAATGACCTCACTACCATATGTATCTTAAATACGAAACTAAAGGTGACCTCACTACCACATTTATCTTAAATACGAAACTAACGGTGATGTCATTTCCACCTTTACCTGCAAACGAAACTAAATGTAATTATATATAATCTCACTACCACATTTACCTAAAATACGAAACTAACGGTGATCTCACCACCATATTACCTAAAATACGAATCTAACGGTGACCTCACTCCCACATTTACCTACAAAACGGCACTAACTGTGACCAACAACACACTATAGCAAACATGACAACATCGATTCCCCAATCATTTTGTTCCCTACTACTAGAACGACCTGCTACTGAAGTTAACATATCGCATTTCATTTTTTTATTTCATCGAATTTTATTGCATACGAAGCAAATGGATTTGGCATCAGGTAAAGCCGATGTAAGCCATCTCCAAACAATCTGCCAGTTTCAGTAATGTATTCTGATATACAATGTAATAAATTTTATTTTGTTTCTTGATCACAATCATGACAACCGTTTAATAAGGTTCTGGTATTAAAATGTTCATGGGAAATAATAGGGTTAGTAAGTTGGTTTCTGAGTTTTGATATAGATTTGTTGAACATTGGACGTATAAGGAAGAAGTATTCCGCTGTTTCATCTCCGAGGTAACAAGTACATGTTTTGGAATCTAACAAATGATCACGAAATAGGTCAGAGTTCAGGTTGTTGGCTAAATTTCTAAGCTGGCATATAATAATATTTATAGTTCGACATTCATCGTTTACAAAGGTATTTGAAACACACGAAAGTTACTACAGTCTAAGGAATACAACGCACGAGAGTATTGGCGTTTATTAAAATTGTCTGCTTAAAATCTACCGAAATCAGATATTTATGCTGATGATCTTGTCAAGTTTTTTTCGTCTGTCACAAATCCAGATGATCCTTTTTTTGAGCCTGAAACTGAGGTTGTAAATTTTGTTGAAAGATTTGTGAAGGGTGAAATACAGGTCATGTTTGAAGAGCTGAACTGTGATATTGAACGAGAAGAAACAATGAAAGCAGTCGCTCAGGTAAAAGCGCTGGGCCTGATTTATTAATTAATGAATTTTAATGTATGGTGTTGATGTATTGTTACCATACATGCTGTTTTTACAATAGGATTATTTCAAGATGCATGGACGGAGGGTTATATTATTCCTTTACATAAAAAGGGATCACTGTCAGATATATCAAATTATAGGGGAAAAACTTTATTGAGTGTAGTTGGGAAATTATTTACGAGGGTTTTGAATAATAGGCTTAGTTTCTGGGCCGAGAAATATAAGGTTTACGTTGACGCACAGGCTGGATTTAGGACGGATCACAGTCCCATAGATTACATCTTTATTTTAAATGGAGTTATCTCCCATCTTTTGCACTTAAAAAAAGAGTCTACATTGTGCATTTATTGAATTCTCAAAAGCCTTTGATTATGTTGTAAGGGACAATTTGTGGCTTAAAGTAATAAAAGTTGGCTTAAGGGGTAAAATGCTTGATGTAAATAAAGCTATGTAGAAGTTCTGTCAAATCAAGGGTAAAAGTAAATAATGAAATTTTAGAAAGTTTTCTATGCAAAACTGGGGTTCGTCAAGGTGATGATTTAGAAAAGGAATTTATATTGATTGGTTTTGATGGTGTATTGGTTATTTAAAACTCTATTTAGTTCTATACGCGGATGATGTCATAATTTTTTCCGAGTCTGCTATACAGGTACAACACGGATTAGACATACTGAAAGTGTATTGTAACACATGAAAATTAAAACAGAGTGTAAATAAAACTATGGTTATGATATTTAGAAAAGGCGGAAGGGTCGCAAGCGACGTTAGATTATATTTTGACGGTGGAGAAATAGAGATAGTGAATAAGTTTTCGTTTTTGGGCATTGTTTTTACATCGGAAGGTTCATTTTATGAGGCTCAGAAAACTCTGTCGGCCAAGCTACTAAATCTATATTCAAAATGGAAAACACTTTGATAAATTGGTAATGCCCGTGCTTTGCTACGGTAGCGAGGTATGGGGCTTCCATTCGGCTGAGGATATTGAACATGTACACCTTAAGTTTTATATAAGATTATTACATGTACAGCCTACAACACAAAATAACTTTGTTTATGGTGAACTAGATCGTTTTCCACTAAAAATAACAAGATATTGCAGAATAATAAATTATTGGCTGAGAATAGTATTGCGATTCAACAAGCGATCTTCTTAGATCAGTATATAACATCTTGTATCAGGACGCTGAACTGAAAACAATAAAGGAGATAATATGTCCCCTTGTATTAATCCAACATTGTACTCAAAATAATTAAAACATTTACCGTTAATTGATTAACAAGATTTAACTGATTTGTAAAATGACTTAATGACGGATAACATTTCCCCTGGAATACCAAGCTTAGTCAGCTTACGCCATAAGCTTAATCTATCAACAAAATCAAACGCTTTGCGAAAGTCCACAAAGCAGCAGTACAAACGTTTCTTCGAAGATAAAATTTTCGTTATAATAGAAGGTAATGCGAAAATTGCATCAATCGTACTAAGTTCTGGACGAAATCCAAATTGCATCAGTAATAAGGTCATATTTTGTACACACATCTAAAATATGTTTATTTAGTACAGAGGTAAAAAGTTTACAAAGACAGCTAATTAAACTTATACCTCTAAAGTTATTAGGGTAATTTAAAACACCTTTCTTATGGACAGGAATAATTATGGCTGACACCCAATTAGAAGGAAAATAACCAGATTCTAGTATATAATTAAACAACCTAGATAAATTTGGAAGAACTAATTCCTCTCTAGCTTTTAAACATTCATTTAACACACCATCAGGTCCATATGATCTACCACATTTCAATTTCCGAATAGCATTTTTTTACTTCTTGTAACGAAATAGGAGCATCTAATTCCTCAAAAACAGTGTCATTATCAGTAAGACTAAAGTCATCATGATGGACTGGATCATTATCTTGTTGTACAGAAATGATTGTACAGTTGATTACCATTACACATTGGTGTTTTAGCTTTCTTCTTAACAAATTTCTTATAAAAAGACCCGGGGTTATGTTTTCTCATATACTCCAACATATCTCCTTCTGCGCTCAAATATTGCCTCTTAAACTTACTTTCCAGGATTTTGTATTCTTTTTTCTTTTTCTTTCTTGAAAGCATCTTAATACTGTTTACGTAGAGCTCTAACACGATCGTTAAACCAGGGCTTATCTTCGGAACTAGAAAAGATATGGGTGTCAACTTTAACAGGGGGCTTATCAGTGTTATTTTTGGGCGGTTTTAAAATTCATTGTACTGATATAGAAATATGTTTATTAGAGCGCCAAGGCACAGTCAAATCGAAATATAACATCGATGAAAGCTACATCAACAGAAAATTAAACATAAAATCCTCAACTCCGACAAGAAGATAAACCAAGTGCTACGTAGTTGTGATAGTTCCACTACCCGTTGTTTACGTCGTCTGATCTCCGATCTAATCCAGGAGGGGGTCACCAACGACACAGACACAGACTTTACAATCAATAATCAGTGCTAAAGATAAATATACTTAAATATGTAAAATTAAACTGACTCAATACCTATTTAACCTAATCTTATATCTTAATTTTGTGGCGATTTTACACAGCAAGATGACAGCCGCTAAATAATGTTTTTAGTTTTCATAAGGGTTGAAGCTATTAATAACTTTTTTAAGTAATCTCTTTTTCGACGTCAAACCCCGTTTCAAACTGAGAAACGATGAAACATGTTGATTGTAAGATCTATCAAATACAAATTAGAAGTAAATTGTGGATAATAAAACAGAAAACGAGAAGACATTGCATGTGTTGCATTGCGCTAGTGTCCCATGATGTCTATTTTCTGTATGTAATAATATTGGCTGTAAACACGGTCTGTGTATGGATTTTATACAGCTTTAGGGGTGTGTGTATAACCCATCAATATTTCACTATAAGTTGATACTTCAAACGTGATCCTTGAGGGCGACAGTCGTATTTCATATGAAGTTTGTTAAGTGGAACAAAATTTCGTTCAGAGAAGCAGATTAAGAGGTAAGAATAGGAGATCGTATCATATGTCTAACACGGACAGGGACTTGATGTTATACGTTAATTATACACATGTTTTAGCAACGCATTTCCGATTAATTTCTTTATCATTATTCTTTCTATAGAAAAGGGGGGTTTATGATATGTCAATAGTTAGGTCTACGATTTCAACATGGTTTGTTTATGACAGGATGTTTAATTAAAAATAAATAAATAGAAACATGAAAATTCAACCAAAACAATTATAGAGAAATGTTTTGGGAATAAGGGGAGGGGAGAGATGCTAGTTTATAATCAGGTTATGTTTACATAAATCGCGTGTTCACTTGTATAGTTTTAAAGTGTACAACGGTAGTATCACATTTCCTCTGTACCTCAGTATATGTTGGTTAAAAGATAAGGGAATGTACACAGATTATTTTGCCATCTTAAGAAAAAAATGAGCTCCTTAACGAATATAAGTTAAAGTGTACACAACCTTTACTTTATTCGTGTATCAAATAGAAACTTGTTCGCACATAATTTGACCTTCTCTCTTTCAAAGTTCCCTCCTTCTTACCATTCACACTTATTCCAAACTTATCTCCGAAAGATGCCATCTGTTCATGCAATCATCCTTTCTCTCATAAAGATCATCTTTACTAACTCGAAATAATTTTGACATGTACTCATACTTGCTTATCCATTCAACTCACTCAAATATCTTCTTCATCTACTAAAAAGAATGTTCAAAAAGAGTATTCTCTTGATTTTCCCCCTTTACCAAACGTTCATTCCAACCCTTCTTATCAGCCATCTTCATTACCCAATAATCAAACAAGTCCGCATTGACCCAGGAGTTATCCACCCATACTCATCCTATATATCGGAACTCAATATGTCACAATGTCCCCAAGAGGTTATCCAACCATACTCATCCTATATATCTCCACCAAATATGTCACACTGTCAACCAGAGGTTATCCACCCATACTCATCCTATATATCTCCACCCAATATGTCACACTGTCAACAAGAGGTTATCCACCCATACTAATCCTATATATGTCCACCCAAAATGTCGCACTGTCAACCAGAGGTTATCCGTCCATACTCATCCTATATATCTCCACCTAATATGACACACTGTCAACCAGAGGTTATCCGTCCATACTCATTCTATATATATCCACCCAATATGTCACACTGTCAACCAGAGGTTATCCAACCATACCCATCCTATATATCTCCACCCCATATGTCACACTGTCAACCAGAGGTTATCCAGCCGTACGCATCCTATATATCTCCACCCAATATGTCACACTGTCAACCAGAGGTTATCCATCCATACCCATCCTATATATCTCCACCCAATATGTCACACTGTCAACCAGAGGTTATCCACCTATACTTATTCTGTATATCTCCACACAATATGTCAACCAGAGGTTATCCAGCCGTACGCATCCTATATATCTCCACCCAATATGTCACACTGTCAACCAGAGGTTATCCGTCCATACTCATCCTATATATCTCCACCCAATATGTCACACTGTCAACCAGAGGTTATCCAGCCATACTCATCCTATATATATCTCCACCCCATATGTCACACTGTCATCCAAACGTTATATCCATCCATACTTATTCTGTATATCTCCACCCAATATGTCACCCAGAGGTTATCCACCATACCCATCCTATATATCCCCACCCAGCATGTCACACTGTCACTGAGAGGTAATTCACTCATACTCATCCTGTATATATAAACCCAATATGTCACACTGTCATCCAGAGGTTATACACTCATACTCATTCTGTATATCTCCACCCCATAGGTCACATTGTCACCCATAAATTATCGAACCATACTCATTTCGTATATCTCCCCTCAATATGTCACACTGTCACCGAGAGGTTATCCGCCCATACTCATCCTATATATGACCATTCAATATGTCAAACTGTCATCCAGAGGCTATCCACCCATACTCATTCTTTATATCTCCACCACATATGTAACATTGTCACCCAGAGGTTATCCACCCATATTCATCCTATATATATCCACTCAATATGTCACACTGCCACCCAGAGGTTATCAACCCATACTCATCCTATATATGACCACCCAATATGTCACACTGTCACCCAGAGGTTATCCACTCAAATTCATTCTTTATATCTCCACACAATATGTCACACTGTCACCCAGACGTTATCCACCCATACTCATCCTAAATATCTCCACCCAATATGTCACACTGTCACCGAGAGGTTATCCGTCCATACTCATCGAAGACGCAGGTTTCCAGTATCATGCTTGAAGGTACAATTATATTGTTGTGCTTTCCTGTCGACTTTAAATATTGATTTTGTCATTGTGTGTTGACGTATATGATTCAGCATTTTCTGGTTTATATTTTCATACTATTTTAAGTGCATTACAAATTTTTACTTTTTAGCAAATCTCTCAAAACACAAGAATGTTTGACCTACATGCGAAAGTGTTTCACACTATCCGGTCTCACTTCAGGTAAAGTCTCATTTCATATTCTATTATATTGCTGATAAACCATATGACACATTTAGAATGTAAAATTAGCGTACGACATACAACTGTATCTTTGCCTGAGTTCAGCTAATGGAACTTTTTTATTGCAATATTGCATTTTTCGAACTCGAATATTGTCATAATTAACAAATTGTCAATTAACCGGTATCCTCATAGGACGTCATAGGAGCAGGTTTGGGTCACCTGTCCATATAACAGTAGCTAAGAGTCAGGAGCTACTGAAATATATAGGAGGTGTCGCTCCTGATCGATTGAGTGGTTTTACTTCCGCTTCACTACCGAGTGTGGTTAACCAAACTACTCGGTTGTGAAGCGGAAGTCAAACCACTCAATCAAACAGGGGCCATACCTCCTATATATTTCTGATTTGTTTCGATGGACAAGTATGACAGTTTGATTCTTGGCATGAACTACATACTTAATACAATTCTCTAACAATTTAAGCGGAAGCCAGGACGAAGATAAATCTCTATTTGCGTAAACAAATCAGAGGACGATTCTGATCTGGCATGGACGTACATGTAAATTTGATACGTATATATTTATATTTGCATGGCATTGTCACTATATAGCCTCTTTGAAAGATGTGTCGTTGATTGGACTTTAATTACCATGCATCCCGAGACACAATTCTTAGCGTATTAATACAACACTGACCGGAACTTCAATATCCAATATAAATAAACATGACGGCTGCTGAAATATCGCTGGGCATTGTGAGATTTGACAATGTCATTGTAAATTTATGTGCAAAATAAAAAATAAAATAAAAAACACTTTTATTACAACGAAAACAAGACCAAGGTCTGCAATATCGTACAAAATGCACATCGGTTGAAATCACCAATGCAGCAATGGAAACAATTTTAACGCTCATGCAATTTATCAGAAATATCGTCTGTTACACTGCACTGATCAACAGGGGTTCGTTACAAATGTCTGAAATACACATAGTCTATAGACCTACTGACACATATGTTACAGACCTACTGATATGAGTCACAGCACACATAAACATTTCAGACATTTGTAACGAACCTGTGCTCCGTCGCAAGATCATAATCATCTACCACTACAAATGTCAGTGATTAAATGCTGGCAGCACCTTATCATTTAGTATAAAGAGTAAATTGAGAATGGACAACAACAAAATTATCTAAGCAGACCATAGTATTTCAAGGTTCGTCAACTGAATTATCGGATCTAATACGGTATTCATGTACTGCTATACGTGAATTAAACTCGGAAACAATGTCATATATTATCAATAGTATAAATTTTACAGATTTTTTTTAAAATACTGATATTTATGTAATAAGCTAAACATTTCCAAATAATTGGCGAGTTGTCTTGCCCATGAATAAAATATTGACAATATTATAAGACAAGTCGTTCACAGATATAACCTTTCTTACTTTTAACCCTTATATAACTTATTTTCGGGCCCTCAATTTGGATCTTTTTTCCTGTGATCTACAGACTTGTTTCAATACAAGAACACAAAAATAATATCTGTTGCAATTTGTTCCGGGTATTCCTAATATTCCCTAGTCTAAAAGTACAAAGATGTAATACCATCGATAAGCGGGGATACGGTCTAGACTCAAAGTCAATACAACAGGCCAACGGGACCCAAACATACACCGGATCAAACCACCCATATGTGACATTGGTCATGATGTCAGCCCGCAGATCCGGCAGGGTAATTAGGCCACCAGTTGCCGATTGCCTCTCAGTTACTCAACCCCTCTAAGTGGTTTATTAGTCGATCGGACGCTTTTAAATAATTGATACATACTGTATTTCTAGATTATACGGACATCTGCTCATTCACCAAATGTGAATTAAAAAAGCATCTGTCATGTATATGTTTATGCAATTATAATATATATGAAGATTAATTGTAGTTGTGATAAAAGCATATCTAATTAGTGTTCGATATATTTAACGTGTCCATTACATAGAACCGATCGATTACTCACATATGTGACATATTATAGGGCCTCTCTTTTTCCTCGTTAATCTACTGAACTCACATCGTTGTCTCGTCTCTTCACCGACGACACGTCATTATCATACTCTTCACAAACTCTAGATGATATTGTGCATGTGCTAAACAACGACTTACAAACTCTAGAAAAATGGTCAAAAGATTGGCTAATGTCGTTCAATCCTAAGAAGACGGAAATTATGTTAGTATTCTTCTCAAATCTTCCCTATCAACCCCTGTTTACGTTCAATAACATCCCTATTGAAATAACCGATCAACATAAACACCTAGGTGTATTACTAAGTAGTGATGCCAAGTGGTCCAAACATATAGATGAAATCATTAAGAAAGTATCAAAATACATAGCAACGATTCGCAAATTGAAATTATTACTTAAAAGGGATAACTTAGAGAAATTGTTTTTAACATATATGAGACCAGTTTTAGAGTATGGCTGTGAAGTGTGTGATAACTGTGGTGCTATTAATTCAAATAATCTTGAAAAGTCACAGGATTACCAATGTATACAATAAAGGCGAATTGTTATATGCAGAAATTGGATGGCTACCATTGCCAAAACAACGAGAAATTAGAATACTGTCCCTCCTCTATACTTTTTAACATTGCACTGCACCCTCATACTTATATAATATCCTACCTCAAAATATTGGAGATCAGACTCATTATAATCTAAGAAATTCTCAGCAAGTACGACAGCAACGGTATAGACTCCAAACTATGCGCAACTCTTTCTTTCCTTCAACTCTTTGGAGTAATTTAGAAACAACCATAAGACACTCTCAAACTCTGAATTCATTCAAATCAAATATACATAAGTTAAATAATGTGATCACTAAATGTAATTTATGCTTTCTCAATTTTGCCCCGTGTAGGCTTAATATTCTTCATTGTAGATTAAGAATCAAAGCAAGTACTCTAAATTATGATCTTTATAGAGCTAATCTTATTTTTCAGCACAATGTGAATGTGGACACACGTGCGAAGACTCGTATCACTTCTTCTTCACATGCCCTCAATACCACATCCTACGCCTCTAATTATTGCAGGATTTAGCATGGTATCCTGGAGATATGTCATTAGACTTAATCATAAAGGGTGATTTAGATTTAAACGTTTGCGTGTTTCGCATGGAGTAAAATAGCGCGAAAATATATACACTTTTTATTGATTATAGATAAAAAAAAAAAAAAAAAAGTTTAGATTTAGTTTTAACATATTGTATTGCCATAAATTCATCAAAAGGATTGGGCACAAGTTACATGAACATTATAATCGCCCTTTCCTTACAATTTTATAAACATATATGTACATCATAAGGTGGCTAAATATCAATATATGAAGAATTCCTAGAAGAGTACTAAAGACTCGTTGTTGAGAATTTTTCTTTTTATAATATATATAGATATATATATAATATTATAATTGAATGAAAGAATAGAAAAGAGGTAGCGAGAAAGCCAAAATATATTAGCATTTAACAATTTGAAGTAAATATTTACTGATACATTTATGTTCACCCATATGCTAACACAACCACATGCACTCTCGCACCAACTCCTACAAGCATAACAGCAGTATACATGTACAACAATTGTAATGAATCCTTCTCAGCACCGACAGCACAAGTGATATTCTCATCACTATTCATCACATTCACTTTTCTATTGTTCATCACATCCCGCGCCATGTTGTCGTTATCCTGTTACTTTCCATGTACATCCTCGAAAATCCACCTCACTGTGCCGTCCGCGCCGGGAAGGATCCATCATATAACTGGACATATATATGTGATAAGGAATTGAACAGTTACACACATCCTCGCCCGCACTCTCACGATCATACAGATTTATATATTGTGTATTGACTTTCATATGGGTGAAAAATGCGTTATTTCATATATGTATAAAAGGGATACCGCACACAAACTATTGGTTAAATATTTATTGGAAAACTTCATAAGGTGGGAGAAGGGGGCTGGATCAGCAGAAGGATTTGAGAAGAGACTATAGTTAAGAAGAGGTGACCTAGTTGAACCTGCGAGTACTCGACACGAACTGCTGGACATGCATGAATAATTCGTCATTTTCCTCACTCGAGTTGTTTTCACTACCATATAACGGTTTCTCTCTAGACTTAGTGGTAAATATTTATGAAGTTTTCTGAACATTCGTAGTCGTTGTTCAGTATGTCTGCTGCATGTGAAGAAGAAGTGGTTTGCGTTTTCAATTGAGTATCCGCATGCAGAGATCATCGTTTAGAGTACTACATTTATGTCTAAGTCTGGTTGTAAGAATGTTTAGTTTGCGGTCGTCAACTAAATAAAAAAAATGGTACCTGGAATGTTTCATTTTGTTTCTTTAGAATATCTTTAAAAATATTAAAGGAAGGTGCCTTTTTTGTGGTGGCATCAAGGTCATTCCATAATCTTACAGTAGAAGGTATGAAAGAATTATTGGATAGTTGTAATCGGTTATTTGAAATGGTATAGTCATCAGAGTTTCTTAAGATATATGGGTTCACAGTAGATACCAGAGGTGGAATTATGTCTTTTAGGTAAGATGGGGTCATATTATTACGTATTTTATAAAAAAAAAAAAAAAAAGATGAAGCTTTCGGCGAGATTCCCAACCTGTTTCAAAATACATCAACTCTCTACTAGCAAAGGATGGTAAACCCGTGACAATACGCGCAACTTCTAATTGTAATGTTTCTAATTTACATGTATCAGCGATAGAGCAACCGTCCCAAACCTCACTGCAATATTCCAGAATAGGTAAAATAAAGGTTAGATAAATCCTATTCAATGTTTTACGATTAAGAGTGTATTTTAATTTGCGAAGCATATCTATTTGTTTCTGAACACTTTTATAAATACTATCGGTGTGATGTGACCATTTACAGTTCGCATCTAACTTAAATGCCTAGATGTTTATGGTGATCTATAAAATCTATATAAATTTCATTAAAAACTAAATTAATGTCTAATTTTTCATTGGTATTTGAAATTAGTAATGCTTCCGTTTTCACAGGATTAAATTTTACAAGCAGCTGTCTGCCCATGTTGGAATTTTTTCAATGTCATTATTAGTGGTAGTTTATAGTTCATTTACAGTAAAAGCAGAGATAGAAAGTGAAGTATCATCAGCGAATAAGAGGGAAATACTAACAAGGTTGTCGGTAATATCGTTGATATATAGAAGAAAAAGTAAAGGGCCTAAGACAGATCCCTGTGGTACCCCAGCATTAGTTGTTTTGGAATTAGAAGTGGCGATTGCTTACGTAATCAGATAACCTACTTAAAAGATTTCCAGAAATACCATAGTTTTTTAATTTATGTACAAGGCCTGCATGCCACACTCTATCAAAAGCCTTTGAAATATCACAGAAAACAAGACAACAATGTTTATGAATTTCGAGATTTTTGCATACAGTGTCATGAATTTCAATTAGCTGGTGTACCGTCGAGTGTCATTGTTGGAATCCAGACTGGTATTTATATAGCAACGAATTATTTAATAAATAGTTATGGAGGTATTTAGTAATTGCTTTTTCAAAAACTTTGCCAACAGTGCTTAACAGAGATATGGGACTATAGTTACTGGGGCATTGTTTGTCGCCTTTTTTAAATATAGTCATAACTAAAGCAGTTTTACAAGAATGTGGATATATCCCAAGGTCAAGTGATTTTCTAAATATATGAAATAATGGGTATGAAACAGTATGAGCAGTATTCCTAAGCATATGATGAGTAATTTTGTGATGTCCAACTGCTTTACCTATACTAAGTGATTTAAGAATGTCATCGATATCCGATTGTGTAAATTCTACATTATCAATTCTACTCTCTGTCCGCAGATCAATAGGTGGTAGAGGTACGCCAGAATCATCTATAGTGGAAATGGATACAAAATAGTCGTTAAGGATAGTGGCTTTACGCTCGTCATCAACTTCAACTAAATTCGAAATAGGGTTTAACAGAGGGGGTATAATGTTAGTTACATCATTGGATTTTATTAGTCTACGTACCAGTTGCCAAAAGTATTTTTAATTCGATACTGCGTAATTATCTAATAGTCCATTCACATCAGCATAAAAAAAGTTCCCTAGTCCTTTGTTTAAGATTGTTGACTTAGTTCCGTTGTTTTTTAAATTTACTTAAATTGTCTACAGAAAGTTGATTTTTTATTTATTTGACTAGTCTAACTCTGAAGTGAACCATGGTTTATCATTAGGTCGAATTGTAATAAACTTTGTAGGAATACAATCATTAGCTATTTCCATGAATGTTTTAGTAAATAGTAAGCACATTTCATCACATGTAGTAGCATTAGTAAATAGATCATGTCAGTCGGTGTTTTCTAATAAATCATTAAATCTGTGGTAGTCAGCATATTTATAGCACCAAATCATGCGTATAAATTTTTTTCTAAGATGTACGTTAAGTTTAATTTCTACAATGGTAGCTTGATGGTCCGAAATATCATTATCTATTTCTATAACATCCGAAAACCCGACCGCGCATGTCTCACTCACAAGTACAGGGTTGATAAGTGAGGCACGTGTGCGATCTACACGTACATGCACTTGTATGTGCTATATATTAGTAAAATGAAAATTAGTAAAACAAATCAATATACCTGTAAGTCAGTGGGGATCGCGGGAGATATAGATCTAAATCAGCGGTGTAGGGGAGATAACTCTAGTTATGTCGGTCCGTGTTGTATATTTCTTTGGTAGGACAATATAGCATACATTTAATCTTATCCTTGAGGATTTTCTAACAATAAGAAAATGTCTGTTTATTCCAGGTTGTTTCCTTTCCTGGTAGGATTGGTGACTGGGGTAGCCCTATATTTATTTATGGATTATACTTACCAAGATGCAGCCTTACGTCACAAGCTGAAACTTATGCAAAATGAATTGGGAAATACAGGCAATCAGATGGAGAAGGCTGAATCAGATAGCAATTTTGAGGGAAAGTATCAAAACCAAGTATCGGGAACAGAAACAAAATTCGGCTTAACTTCAGTTGTCGTGAAGTATATACAACAGTATATGTTAATGCATTATAAGACTTTTGTTTATATTTATAACACGTTTTGGCAGATCTTTTAAAACAAAATTAAAATTGTAGATACGACCAGTGGAAAATTCTACGCAGTTGTTTTATCTAATATTAAAACGAAGGTGATTTTTACATATTGATTCATAGTTTTAAACTGTCAAATATTACACAGCTGTAAATATTGCATTTTATCATTTATTGTATCCTGACTATTTGTAAGACGAGCTTCGTGCTCAATATGTAACCAAGAATAAATAAAGCCTATTATTATTGTAAGTAGTAGTAACTGTTGTACACGGTCTCTAGAGGGAGTCTATGGTACGAATAGCCCCGGTTCCTTGATCGCTGAGGGGATATGCTTCGAAATTTTTACTTGTTTTTTTACTTTTTGCGAAAAGTTATTGTTTAAATTATGTATTGTTAAAAACGGCGGATTGCCTCGAAAATTCTTACAAATTCACTGTCCGTATTGTAGCTATATATTCTCTGCTCGAGAAGAATATTGTTATTTTACCATACTTAACGAAACTTCTATTGTATTCGACATGAAAACAATTATATTTCCTATCTATTACATCACTGCATCAAAAAAAAGTGTGGGAATGAGTAGTGTCATTACTTACTGTCATTTAAGCAATAAACTGCATAGATGTGGCAGACCAACTGGTATAACTGCCACATGTGTCACAGACAAACTGAATGGTGCGCGCTAGCGCACCATGATAAGTTTGTCTGTGACACATATGGAAGTTATACCAGTTGGTCTGCCACATCTATGCAGTTTATTGCTTAAATGACAGTAAGTAATGACACTACTCATTCCCACACTTTTTTTTGATGCAGTGATGTAATAGATAGGAAATATAATTGTTTTCATGTCGAATACAATAGAAGTTTCGTTAAGTATGGTAAAATAACAATATTCTTCTCGAGCAGAGAATATATAGCTACAATACGGACAGTGAATTTGTAAGAATTTTCGAGGCAATCCGCCGTTTTTAACAATACATAATTTAAACAATAACTTTTCGCAAAAAGTAAAAAAACAAGTAAAAATTTCGAAGCATATCCCCTCAGCGATCAAGGAACCGGGGCTATTCGTACCATAGACTCCCTCTAGAGACCGTGTACAACAGTTACTACTACTTACAATAATAATNATGCTAAGTCGCTCGGAGGTGCAAAGACCAACTTCAGTTATAGTCTCATAAGATGAAGCTGCTATTGGCAGTACGTTAGTAGTAATATAGAAGGGCTTTGCCACACCTAATGTAAATATATTCTAATATTTACTTTCTGTATGCTTTGACCCATTGACGAAAATGAATGTGACGAAAATGAATGTCACTACAAAAAAATAGGGTGGATACGGAGATTATATCAGAAGTCGGGCAAGTGGCAAGTTATCTTAGAAACACATATTGACTTACATATGCTATCTCGTTGTGGAAGTGATTACATTTCAATATGTCTTAATAAGTGCACAAATTATTTTTGGAAAGATGTCTTTAAAGCATGGAGAAGGTTTAATGAAAAGGAGCGGGTGAAACAAATTAATGAAAGTTGTATCTGGAAAATACCATTATGGTACAATAGGAATTTTACTATTGGGGGGAAAATCAATATTTTTCAAGACATGGTATAATAAAGGAATGACTATAATTTATGACTTAATAAAAGACATTGAGACTTGCACTTTTTACACATTTCAAGAATTTGCTCAAATTTATCAGGTAAATACAAATTTTCTCCAATATCATGGTGTATTAACTACAATAAGGAAATATTAAGCTAAAATTGATTGTAAAAAGGATGCTTTTGTATACCCTATCATACCCTGTAATGTTAAATTTTTCTTAAAAAGAGTAAATGGGATAAAAGATTTTTATAATCTTATGGTAAAAAAAAAATACTATTGCTACTGGGAGGAGAAAATGGGAAGAAAAATTAGATTTGAATAATTTTAATTGGAATGATATATATAAGACCCCTTTTAGAATAACAAAAAATTCAAGACTACAATGGTTTCAGTATAGAATTGTTCATCATATTTTGACAACAAATTCATCCATGTTTAAAGTAGGATTAGTGACAAGTCCACTCTGTACACTTTGTAATTTAGAACAAGAAACAATCATTCATATTTTGTGGGAATGTAGAGAAGTTCAGAATTTTTTACAAAGTTTTGAAATATTGTTAGATGCACTTTTTATCCCATTTTCATTTAATAAAATCAGTTTCCTTTTTGGATTATTGCTACCAAACGAGAATATGGCGTATAATAGAATTGACAATGAAATTTTAATTATTATTAAGTTTTATATTTATAAGACAAGATGTCGACATCAAACGTTGAGCCCAAATGCCTTAGTTAATATGATTAAAGAACATTATACTGTTCAAAAATATATCGTAAACAGTCAAGGTAATTCTGCACAGGATAGGTTTGAGAAAGAATGGAGAAAATGGATAAAAATATTAGACTATGCGAAAGTGTAATTTTAATAATACCAAGGTAAAAACAGCTTTTAATATTTTT